ACCGGCTGACCGACGGCCACGTGTTGACAACGCTAGACTGATCGATGCCGCTCACGCGGCCCTAAAAGCAAACTGTCCTGCGCTGTCAACACATGGCCAGCAACGCCGTCGGTTGGCCGAGGTCGCGGCTTTTCGAAATCCGATGCTAACAAGGCAAAAGGACATACCGTTGATTTGAGCGATCTCCAAAAGTGTTGATGGCTATCCCGGCTCTTGCAAGCGGCAACACATCGTAGGAGTCGTTGTTGCTTGACGTCGTCGGACGATCCACATATTGGGGAGGCGATGGCATGCGTTCGTCTGAAGCTAGTTCAGTTGTAGATCTTTCCCCAGATGGTAAGAATCATTGACATTCTGTACCTTTTCTTTAAATAATTTTACAAATTTCACAAGAAATCTAAAATAGAAGCAAAATTTAGCCCACCGTTGGAGAGTTCTGGTCGTTGCACAGGCTTGGCATATCTCTCCCCACTGCTTCTCTCCACTGAGATGTACTTCAGTGGTGTTGAAAGCGGTGATTTGTGGGCATCCTCTTTTTTCTCTAGTTCCGTGTATTTGATTTTGTTCGTTGAGCTCACACTTGATGGACCATCACCATCGAACGTTGTTTCGATGTCGCAATAACCATTTTTGGGCCTCGGAGAAATACCAAAATCCCTGATAGTAAGTGGCGGCTTGTCGAACTTACTTGGAGAGGAAGGCTTTGTTACCGGAATGGCAGGCTGAAAAAATATCAAGTTGAGGGCGATGCTGGTGTCTTCTATGCCTAATATTTTTATTGAGAAAGCGAGTGTATTACTCGCACTACTATTCTTCCCCCTACTCCACCTTTGACAATGGAGTCCATATAACGGGAATCAAAACTATTCTCGTCATAGGCCCTGACCTAGCGGACAGCAGGGACATCGTTGTCAACTCTCTACGTGATCGAGAAATCAACATAATGAACGACCGGGCTTCGTAGCTAGACAGAAGAAACGCTCTGTTTAGGGAGCATTTAAAAATATCGGAGGAGTGCAAATAAGTCAAACAACATCCGCCTCCGCGCTCACTTTGCCGATACTGAAAAAGAGGGTGCTCATAATTTCCCCATATGCGCAAGTTCACAAGAGAATCCGGAGTGCCGAGCCCCGCCAACAGGTGGAACAGGTGATGCTAAGTCAGTAATAACATATAGCTTTCTACCTCTTTCCTCGCAGAAAAGCGACGGTGCATTTCGATCTTCCTCATCTCCTCAGTTGTGCGATTCGAAGAGGTTGTCGGCTCTTTCTGTGTGCCTCCTTCTCCATGTACATGGTCTACGGATGAAGATAACGGCTTGACCACATCATCGATTACCGTAGTTTTTTGGTGGGTTATCGGAATGGACTGCGAAGAACCAGGCAGCGGCTGTGTTGGTAACAGAGCTGAAAATTAATCTAGCTTTCACTAGACTAACTGTTAGTGGAAAAATGAATTAAAAAGATAAAAATAAGAATAAGTTAGACGTACCTTTTTTATCCTGGTCCATGTTCAAAGCTAGGTTAGATCGGAGTCGCACGCTGTTCGGTTCTAAGTAGTTCTCCTGACCAATTTGCTCATAAACTGGATCGTATGTTCGGTTCAAAGGCGTTGGCCTGCAAAGTCTGTCTTCGACAATTGCTAAGTATTTTATTCGAAAAATCGCTTGTCCGTTTAGCTTTTGTACTGATGGGCTCGTGAGACGGGTACTGCAAATTCTGAAGAAGGTTCATACATTGATTATTAACCTAATGAAATACTCCTCTATTGCCCTTGACCTTAGCAACAACCATTTACTTGAAACTAAATTCTTCCCTTCAAAAATTTAATAATGCTCCACCGACTTTCTGCAGCTGAAGAGCCTGGTTGGACAACCGAAATCTTGAATGATACGTACTAATGCTGTCGGTTGATGATAGCACCTATTGAGTAGCAAATCTTGATGTTCGGTCGTCGTAGTCTAATAGAAATGAATGAGAACACTTTGTTCTCCATTTGTAGTAATGGTCGCAATGGTCGGTCACTGCACTTGTCATTCACTTTTTTTTTCAGGCTACATTACTATACTACTCTTATCTTATAGAACATTCCGAAATTTCAAGTACGCCTTCACATGACGAAGGCGCAAATAATTCGAAATCCCTCAAGCCAGCCGTTATCGGCTGTTATAATTATCTATATACATTATCCTAAACACTGACACAACAAACCTATGAAGCAATGTTCCACTATCACTTGGAAAGTTGTAGAGGTTTAGTAACAATTATCAGCCCTAATCACATGCTACATATGTCCCGTCAAACCAAGTGCGATCCCTTCACACCCCTAACGAGGTGCCGAAGTTCGATTTTGTTTCAAAGAGCGTAACGAAACGATCTATGTTTCCTTGGCTCCTCTTCAGCCGTAATCATTTTCATCAGTCGTTGTCACTTAGTATATAGATCCCCTCTTATCCCGCTGGGTTTCATTGCTTTCAAGTGTCAAGGTTTCATTGCTTTCAGTGAACGCGGTACGGTACAAATTTAGAGACTTTTGAGGGTCTCCTATGACTCCTTATCAGCCCTTATCACTTGCTATCATCATTGTGACCAACAGTTTACAGTCCCTTATTAACCTACATCATATGCTATAGTGCCAAGATCCACATTGTAGGAAGAATGGAGTTGAAGTTTCAGCGACTCTTCCTTTTAAAACTCCTCACTAGCGCCTGTCAACAGTTGCCTTTTAATACCACCTAATACCGGGGGACGGTACGAACGTGCGTCCGAGGGTGCGCGCGGCAATCTGCGCGCCGAAGTTCGCGACGATTTGTACGACTGCGGCGCTAATTTTCGGGGCACAAACTCGAAGTAGTGTAGTTTAGTAGGGTCAGATAATCCTCCTAATCCACTCTATTTCAAATTTGGGCTCCAATGATAGGCGCCAAAGTCGTTCAAATCATTACGAACTTCGCCGCCAATTTGCCGCGCGCACCCTCGGACGCACGTTCGTACACATACCCCTTAATACCACCAGTCCTGCCACCTGTATACACTCCGAATTCAAAGGCTCAAGGACTAGGCAGACAGGAACCATGAATTTATGGTGGAACACACACCAGCAAACTAACATTATACATATGGTAGGATTTTTATCATATAATAGATCGCTCACCTTCCACCAAGCAGACTTGACACTCCTGCCGATACATCGCAAGGTAGGCACTCATAGGTGATATCGCTGTCGTCAATATTAACACTCTTCTTGGACTGTTGCGGCGTTTTCAAGGCAGACCTGAGCTTTGGAAGAGTCGGGAGCGCAAATGGTTGGCTAGTTCGCACAGGAAGCGGAACCGCCGAAGGTGGCCTCCGAGCTTGATTCCGTTCCAGGGTGTTTATCGAACCTGAAAACGCTTGGTGCTTACTCCTTCACAGCCATACGCCATTTACGGCCCTGTGGGGAGAACTCTACTTCCATTCTGTCGTGTCTGGTACCCACCTGTTTGCGTCGTTTCAGTGATGTTGCTTGTCGAAGAGAACAACTCGCGACTGGACCGGTCTGCCAACTTCCTCTCAGCTAACTTTGCTTGCTTTTTCGAAAAATTAGGCATAGATGCAGTTCGTTTAAATGGACTCTGTAATTGCATTAGAGTGGAACTAATTATCCTTGTTCGAAAAAACCTTACTTCTTGGCTCCTTTGTTGTCGTTCTCTAGCATTTCTCATGTAGTCACGTTCCCATTGACGTAGAGACTGGGAATCAACACGGTATATTGCCTGAAAACGACGAGGATTGAGAAAGCAAAGATTGAAAGTCGAAATTCCTGCTACTGTCACATGCAATATGGGATGATAGAAGACNGCTCTCGTTTTACTGAAGGAGACAGAAGTGACACAACAGCCCAACATTGAAGCAAGCCAGTGCATTATGGTGGTAACAATTTGACAATAGAAAGCCCACCCGAGAACTTGCTAAATTTCGAAAGGAATAATCAGATAACGAAGCGTTGAGAGTGAACTTCGAATGATTAGCAACAACCCTTACCTCGTAGGTAGTGTCCCCGTCCTCTTTGATAACCTTGTTGTCCTGATAATTTGCCCATGCGTAAAAGACAGTAACCCCGATACTAGACAATATGGCTGAAATATGTTCACGATTAATAGCAGCCCAAGGAAGAGAGAATATGAAAGGTTGGGAAAATCTTGAAAAATTAACCAGAAATTGTGACGAGCACTGTAGAGGCACAGATGAAAGTCCGATGGCAAAATGCAAGAACAGCGAATAGCAGTGCTGACGCCGAGAACACAACTGCTGACCCGCACCCAGACAGAGCTGCGATTTTCCAGCCTGCAAGGTGAGAAATGGTTATTTTGGTTACTTCTCCTCACAGCCCACCGGTCATATTTTTCAGAGTTTGGGTCTAGAATGTGTAGCCTTTTAATGACACTTTCATGCAGCAGTGGCTACTCTCATAGCCCGCGATTCGGCCCACGAGTGATCGAGCGAGCGAGCGACCGGGGCGGCCCACGAGCGTTCGACCGGGGCGGCCCACGAGCGATCGAGCGACCGGGAGCGGCGCTCGCCCCTTAAAGACACGGTTTACGATAAAAAAGGTTACTGAGTTCTTCCGTTAGGAATACAGTGCGTTTCATAATTATAAGGTCACCCACAAATTCTACACTTTCAGAAAAAGCTATCATTAAGGATTTTTTTTAGCATCATGAACGGTTTCCCCAGCACGAATAACCAAGGTATCCGTTTTTTAGCCGCAGCTGCATTTTTCTTAACTATTTTAGAACAGTTTATCGGTTTTTGCACAGTTTCATAATTATAAGGTCACCCTAAGAAAGTGAACAATTATTCATGGAAGAGAGGGAATTTCGGTTTAAAGATACTTATAAAGGTAAGCATGTGTAGCAAATGCATTTCTAAACCTGGCTGTCAACATGGCTCGTGGTCATCTGCTTTCCTTTGATGAGAAGGCTCATCATGAAGGTGGGCTCAGTACTCGAGCCATCTCCAGGCAAGTAGGGAGATCCCCTTGGCCTATTCAAAGATTTCTGGAGAGCCCTGATGTCTCTAGATATAACACCGACTGTGGACACCCATGAAAGATTACTGCCCGTGACGAGCGGAAGATTCTGAAGCCTGTTTCCAACAGTACGTCCTCCTTGAACCAGATCCGAAACCTCTCTGTGTCGAAAACTACAGTCTGGAGAGCAGTGAGAAGGTGCGAGAACATCACCAGGCAAGAATGGAGAAGGTGCCACGAATCACCGATAGCCACAGAGAAGCTCGACTTGGGTTTGCAAACATAAACCTAGGGAGAGATTGCGCAAAGGTAGATCTGCATCAAAATCTCACCATAGAGCTGAATAATTCCTATTCAGATCGTCTTTTCGGATGACGAAGTTCAATCTAGACGGTCCTGAAACAAGCGATACTGGCGCGACTTGAAAAAGGAACCAGTCTACTTCAGCCGTCGCAATTTCGGTAGAGGAAGTCTATGGCGTGGGGTGCATTCTGCAACGATGTCGTGTTGGATGTACCTGTCGTGAGCTGCAGTATGGATTTCAAGGATTACGAGAACGTCTTGGAGCATCACCTAGTAACCTTTCTATGCCATCGCCGTCACCACAACTATGTCTTTCAACAAGACAACGCCTCCATTCATGTGAGCCGTGCAACGGATGAGCGGCTGCAATGGCAATAAATAAGCGTTCTGCCATGGCCAGCCTGCAGTCCCGACCTCAATCCAATGAAACATATCTGGGGCATGATAGTCAGACAGGTTTATGCGAAGAACCGTCAGTTCCAGAGCACAGAAGAGCTGAAGCGAGCACTTATCGAAGCATGGAGAGCAACCGATGAGGAACATCTTTGAAACCTAGTTCCTAGTATGCCACGCAGGCTCTTTGATGTTGCTCTTAAACAAGGAGGAGCTAACATTATTGAGTGTTGTACATATGCCATCAACGTTAATAAATCATTTACTTTCTCACGGTGACCTTATAATTATGAAACAGTGCAAAGCCGACACTATCTTCAAAAAATTCATAAAAAATTTGAGGTGAAAGTATTGCGACAAAGATTTGAATACGGGGGTACATTGTGATGAGGAATCTTCCAGTGTTTGCCAAAAAATCGCATTCCTACTGCTTTCTCCAGCACTGTACTCAGCACCCCTCATGGGTGGTAGAAGGGACCCTCTCGCCTCCACAATCTCGGCGCTTAGGACAAAGTGGAAGCCTTGTTGCTGCCATAATTGGCTCTAACTCCCCTCGATCGATGTCATGTTAGACGAGTGTCGAGACAATACGGATTGCAGCTATTCGTTCTAGGACCCACACACAATCAGCCGATCGCCAAGTGATGAGGCGACATCTTTCTCCAATTCTTTTTTCCTTTGTTATTCTTTTTTATGCCGCGATCCCTTATTCATTTCCTACTAATAGATGCTTAACAAGGTGAGGTACTTTTGCTGTTACCAGGGCTTTTTGTTTACTTATGCTTATAAGTGAATGAGTTTTTGCTTACCATAGTATGTTATTCGCACCAGGATCCACACGCACGCAGTGAGACACATTGTATAGCTCGTCCGAACACCCAACTCTTCTTCATTTTTCCGGTCTCATTCTCGTCCAGCCGCCTTTTTAACGGTTATTCGAAGCCTTTTTTCACTTTGGAAACACTGATTCACGCAGTTTCTTCACCTTCATCGCACTATTTTCGATCTTGTCTTCCATTTTTCATTATAACCTGGATTACCCAAAATTATCGTGAACCTTGGTATCAAGTACCTTTAAGTGCTACTGAATCTTGGTCGATACCGCCGGAGGTGTAGTTCCCCGGTCGCTCGCTCAGTCGCTCGCTCGCTCGCAGGCCGAGTCGCGAACTATGGAAGCAGCCAGCAAAAAACACGCAGTTCTTCGCTTGAGGGAGCATCTTTTCGCTTCTTCGCTCTTTCGAGCTTAGTATTGCCAATTGCCGTTATCCGCTGAGGGATTCTCTACACCCAAGATCTGGTTTCAGCCCAGTATCTTTTCTGCGAACGCAGTACACGTGAAAACCTCTAGTCGACACTATGCCCAAAATGCTCAATCAAACCTAGTTTTTCGATAGAGTTTAGAATCCGACTTCAAGTATCACCACAGTGTGTGCATAATTATTCTGTACACAGATTTAAGCTACTATCTCAGGCATGATCCCAAGGCGTGATATTGCATACGCGCAGTCCGATGAAGAAACCCCGGTTCGATATTTGCCCACCAAATCGAACCTTCCATCCTTTCTAGCCGATCAATTAGTAACAAGCTCAACTTGGAGGATGAAAGCATAGTCTTTTAAATCGGCCAACCACCACAAATCATTATTCAGACCACATCTGAAACCAAAAGTGAGGGCCCATCTCTAAAGCGGAATTGTTTTATGCCACGTATTTTCTTTATTCTTCATCAGTCGGATAGCTGTAGCCTGTACCCCTTACAAATTTGAACGCCCTAAGTCCAGGAGAACAGAAGCCATAAATTTCCGGCCAAACACACAGCCACCCCAACACACTTTGTGGTAGGACCAGATAAACAAGCTTTACTCTGAAAATGATACTTCCTCCTGACAAGCAGCCCTGTTGCGGAAGGTATACTGCAAAAGGAGCTTACAAGGTTGCAAAAGGGACTTACCTAGAAACAAATGTTGGTATGCATCGTTTTGTATGCGATTTTCGTCATGGTTGTGGTCGTAGAGATCTTCGGGATCGATGTAGTAGTCGAATTTGTACACACATTGTAAAGGAGGAAGAAAAAATATATCGAAAGGAGATCCTTGGAGGTCCCGCCTGTAAACACAAGACACATGACACTCCGTAATAGCTGAAGTTTGACAACAGTTGAATACTCCGATCCTTCGTTATTTTTCCTCTTTGGCCCCAGGTTTCGGTGCTTTGTACACGTAGCGCTTCTGCTAGAACCAATGGTCTGACTTTATATAGCTTGTGAATGCGCAATACTCCGCACTGACAGCTAGGCAGATCTCGAGTCCGTATTTTGTACCGCTCAATTAAGATTTAATGAAGAGTACTCACTCGGGAACATTTCCAAGAGAAGAACTCCGCCTAGTCTTCTTTCTTATTATCTTTTCAACGTTCTTTTTAACGGTAGGTCGAGATTTTCTCATGCCCACGACAAAGTTGCTGCTCGGGAAACGCAGTCATTTTTTTGGCATTTTTTTTTCACCATCGCCTTTTCTACTATCACGACACCCTACTTCTAAGCTGTCCACGTACTCCTCCCTGTCATGAATCTTGCCGTGTGAACTACTTTTACTAATCTTTCCAACTCTGCATTTTGTTCGACTGTCTTCCACATCAATACAGAAGTGAAAAAATAATAAATTTGAGATACCTGTACAAAGTTTCATAGTATTCCCTCGTCCGTCCATAATCGAATGAGAAATCTCTCTTGCAGTCCAACCACAATCCATGCTGGTGTTCCGTGCGTCCGTTCTAAAAGAACGGATGAGTATTAAATTTTTTATTAAGAAATACATTATTGAAGAGAAAGGCTATTGATGCTAAATGCCAGTTTTTCCTAAAATTATTTCATCCTTCCTGAAGTCACTTGAGGATCAAGGTTGCGGAGAAACTGGAGAAGAACCACACAGCGGCTCGAAGTGTTTCAACTTACCCGAAGCAAACTGCGCCTAGGGAAGTGATACAATGAAGGTATCAGGTAACCCTAAGCCGTAGAGAGACCGGTGGATAAAAGTGGCATAAAGTGATGATCAACCAGACAACTGCGTTCTGCACAGATACGGGTGGTAATGTTAAATGCGAGAAGACGGACTGGATGATTATGATTAAACATTGTTGTGGCACACTCGGCTGACAGGATCTTCTGAGCCAACGGTCAGAAAACATGACGATGGTATGAGGAAGTATTATAGCAGATCAGAGAGCCAGTCGAAGATGAGACCAAGAGTGCCCTTGTGCTTGGGCTAGATTACCACGACAAGAGAATGTTTAAACTAGTTCTCAGGAAAACAATTCAGTATTCTTCTGTGAGAGATAATCTCACAGAAGCTGCACTGTGGTGAAATGAGGTTGTGCTTTCCCCATGATTAGCAGGACCCGCGACTGTGCAGGGCTGACCATTAGAAAGTAGAGTGTCGGCCTCACCCCATTACGTAATTCTGTATTTCAATAATATTGTCAGCAAGGGCAACCAAGAGTCAAGGGAAAAATGCTCCGTTTCTTTCATCCCACTGCATTTTCTTTAGTTTTGGATAGAGCCAAAGCTTCACCAATGCTTAGCCAAGCTTCACATTCAAACACCTCTTTGCACGACCTGTTCTGACACACCGAACAGCTTTTACCTAGGAGAAGAAGCACCGGTTGGTAACTACTTGACATTAATTTCTCTCAGATCAATTCAATGTCCGAAAAATAAACAATTTCTGTGGAAAAGTGATTGAGCCACCAGGAATATGTTAGAAACTCAGAAGCAGCGTGAATTCGGCGAAGATCAACCTTACAAGATAGTGTGAATTTCGCAGGACTTCTGTGAGTCAACTATTTAATACATCTCCTACTTCAACAGTGACAAGGAAACAAAAATACTCCATGATGGATCACAGTAGCGGAGCTACAAGGAAATGAAGAGGCCCAGAGTCAAACACTTATTGTGCGAGAGCAGTGGAAGATGATTGCCCACCGTTAATTAACTTATAGGCCCAGTTCATAATAAATAAAATAAAAATTCGAAATTGCAAACCAGGTAGGAGAGGAGTCTCAGAGTATGTCATATGGGGCGCTGTCGTATCAGAAAGCAACCTATATAGAATGCGATAAGGGTTCAAAAATTGTCTACACTGTGTGCTACACCCAGAGGTGGACGAGTTTCAAGGATCTGGGAAAAAGGACTTTCACCATGTCAAAAATTCAAACAGTAGATTTGAGGGAACAACAAAATATGACATCGAAGAGTAACAGCAACAGTAGTACAAGAACAAAATTGTAACAGTAGCAGAGAGTGTAAAAAATGCTCCCAAAGCTCTTATTCTATGCGGTCCCGATTCGTGGTGACGGCGGGAAGGTATTCGTTGGTTGCTATAGGCAGCTTTTTATGCAAATTCACAGACTGACATGTTGTCAACACAACGCATTTTGTCAAAATACCTCTTGAATTGTGCTTTGGAACGTGTGAATTAGACGGGATTCAATAGTACTTTTTGAGGGCAAATTTTATCACTTGTTTTCCGGTTACAATGTATGAAGCATGAAAGGCGTGGATACGAAACCAAATTCTAGTTGATAACCTCGAGACAATGAATCTAATCCGCATTTGGCAGAAAGTAGTGTCGTCTGATCTGATTCAGCGGAAATAATCAGTGAGTGGATGCTCCAATAATTGTACTCACCTCTAGGTATACGTACTGCCACGATGGACTGATCAATGCGATCACCGAAAGGGTGAACGCAATGAAAGTGACGGTGAAAAACGTTGACAATGCCGCCTTACGACCGCATTTTGATACACCGCCATCTGCCATTTAGCCGAATGGCATCTGAAGCTGCGACAGATTCATCAAGATCGAAATTATAAAAACAACCTAACGACAATAATGGCATAAAACATGAACTGCGGCTTGAAGTGAAAAGGTGATTGAGAGATGACGACCAACAAATATTTGATCCTGCCAGTGGATATACTGTCTAATTCGTTGCGGTAGCTCCGGGGCTCTGAGCCCGTTTGCCGAATGGCAAACGAAACGAAGTTGTTTTCTACACCTATAGCATTTTACAGCAGTCTGGTCCAGTATACAAAGGCCCGAGTAAATGCAGCCCGTATGAAATGGAAGGATCGCGAGCCAGAAATGAGGACATCAAGGCGATCATGCAGAAAGCATCTTTCCAGCGCGAGGTACAAAAGAGCGCATAGGTACGTTCCCAGAAGGCGATAGCGTAGAATCTCTAGGTAAGAGCCACAGCAGACTCAAAGCCTCACAGAAAACGTCCGCAACTACCTCCAAAAAATGATGAGAGATTACCCGAAAAGATATAAAAAAAGTCACTCGGATAGGAGTAAGTGGCGAAGACTTGATGAAGAGCGTATAAGACGGCGCGGATTGAAGCCAACAAACGGAAGGGTGTTTCAACAAGGTGGTAACATTCCACTCATGCAAAATAGGAAACAAAATGACGGTGTGCACTAAGCAAATAAGTAAAAACCTATGAGAAAAAGGCTAAAGGCGAAAAAGGCATTTCCTTCATGCTAGTTTCGTATGACCTCTATTTTCACTAGTTTCGAGGAGTCTATTTTTCACGAAACCGGAGAAATTTCTCGCTTCCTACACCACTGAAGCAAATTTCCAACCTATACCTCCGCTTTTTGAATGAAAAAGGGGTACCCCAAAATTATCATGAGCTGTACCTTTAAGCTTCTTTCCATTTAACGATATTGCTCACTGTAAAGGAAAAAACAAAGAATGCACCGAGTAATTCTCCAAAGCTTTCGTAAAAAATTGATGACCAGAAACCTGCCCAAAGGAAAATGTTCCTCATGAAGGGATTATTGTCAGCGTAACATGTACCGTGTTCATAGCATATAACCTTCACAGAAGTGAGAAAATAAAGTCAAATGGCTGGTGATAACGAAGATCAAGACCTTCTCGAAGGTAGTTGAATAGCTACAATCTTTTCTTTAACCAGCTCAGCAGAATGAGGTGAATTCATCCACCAGACGTAATCTTGAGGAGAACCGGAGAGCAGTATATTTTGCCAAGTGCCTATTCTTTTCGTTCAAAAACTAACTACTTATTACCGTCAATTTGGGCGGATTACAGTGCGTTCAAGTGATTTTTTGAAGAATGTCGCCTATAGGCCAGTAAGGCTACGAGGCTGAGCGTGAATACCAGAAAAAGAGGGTTTTCAACAAATTTGATTGTATCTCAGCTTGTTTGTCCAGCCATGGCCCATGTTTGTCTAATTTCTGCTAAAACAATGTAAGATTTCGGATTTTCAAACTTCAGGTGGCTCATAGACGGAGATGGAATAGCGCCAAGCGTGACTAGCGAATTCCTGGAATCGGATCTCACATCCAGACCCACTAGGGCCAATCGAGCATTCGACCCCTGCTTATGGCTTGAGAATTGTGAGGAAAATATTATAAAAGCATTTAGTCGTACCAAATTAGGGTCCAAATAGCCTTCGGAGAGCTCCATGTGGAGGCGTATAACTATTCAAACAAACTCTCATAGAGCACTGTTTTGTCGTGCTGTAGTTTTAAAAGACTCTGAGAGGAAGAGGGTGCGCCCTGTTGTAGATTCAGAGTGAGATAAAGTTCCCAGTGGGGAATGGTCGAGTTCACTGACCTTGGAAAGTGAGTCAACTGCATACGAAACAATAGATAGAGCCACTGAGTAGCGGAGGACTGCATTTCGGTTATAAGATTCATGTGCTTAACGGAGAAACTGAGAGCATGTGTGTTCCATAGCAGCTTTGGTATCAAATGGATAGTGAAGGGGGCGAAAAGAAAAGTTACCGACAAGTGGGCAACAGTTTCGTAGAATCCGGCCTGCGGAAAAGGAAGAAGAAAAAGCTTTCCCCTATGTGGCGTTAACAAAACAGGAACCCCTTAATTTAATCTGGTTTTCGTATCTCATATCTGTCAATCTATTCAGGTGAAACAGATTTCAGTGTAGTACATTCATACGTACTTACATATCTATAATAGATTCGTTATAGCTACTCGTTCAACTTTGATCTGAGTTAGTGATGGCAAAAAACCTCGGCACAATCTGTAAACGGAATAAGCCTGCCAGTGGGAATGATAAATCGGTAACTCCTCCGAAGCATACCATCTCAAACTGAAAAAAAAAAATAAAAATGTGAGCACAGCTGCATTACCGTTTAGAGTTATGCACAGAATAATGAACTTCAGAGTTCAGGGTTCCAGTATCTCGTGAATAGTGCTGTTTAGTCAGGCAGATAGTCAGGCAGATAGTCTCTTTCCAAACTCAAGTAGTAAGGCGAACATCCTACATCGCAGAGATGAAAACTATAAATGCTCTAGTTTTCAGCCTGATATTGATCTTTCATATACCGAACGCCAAGGAAATAGAAAGAAATTCTTCGTTGAAAAAAATTCATCCCAGAGTTACTCGTCAGTAAGTAAGGGTAAGTAAGCAGAAACACCATAAAATAAATCGAGCTTAATAGGTAGTTCTTTCATCTGAGAGCCTTCCCGAAAAGTCTCAATCATTCATTCACGAGTTCAAAACCCGTCCTTTCTTGAATCCAGCTCAAGGATTGCTTTTATGCTTTGAATGTTATCCCGTTAGCTGAAATAGTCAACACAGCATTGAAGTATCGGTAGGAAGAAAACATTCACTACCCGGGTTGGCTGGGTGCTTCCTGATGGTCAAGGTATGTGTGAAACTCATAATAAGTTGAGTTAATAAGCAAATGCTTCCTCGTGATTGAACTTTGCTTCTACACCACATGCGCTGCACAGAAATCCTGAACCGAGTCCGAACATGGTTGATTCGGTCCGAATTATGAATAATTGAAGACAGCTATAAAATTATTCACCTTGGGTGATGTGGCAGAGTCATCTTAGTTGACAGAATTTCATGAAACTATCAAATATACATCTAGTACCCTTTCTGGAGTTCTTCAAAATCACTAACATGCAGAATAACGAGTGAACACATCCTGGAGAACAACCAAGCGGACTACTGGCAGGTGATTTCGAGATATTTGTCAGAAATATAGGCAAGTGGAAGACATATAGGTAGAGGTAATGCGACCGAAACGACATAATTGCCCAATCCGTCAAAAATCCACTACAAAATTACCAGTCACATCCAATCGATAATAATTTTAGGTTCATTTCAGCAACATTTCCGAATGATATTGTATTATACAGTCCTTGTAGCTCTCCGCCTGCGGACCAGCCATTTCGTTGTCCGAGGTCATTTTTGGGTTGTTGCACTCGAATGATCGCGATGAATGGCGAACTCGACTTGAAAAGAATGCTAAGAAGGGAGAAGAGTAAAGCAGGAGAAGTGCAAAGTCAGTTCAAAGAAGGTCACAAGATTACAAGAGAAAAGGTAAAGAATAAAGTAGTGCGCTGGGTAGGCTGATACGTATGCAGGGCACGTTAAGAACGAAGGCGGAAACGCATAAAGCAGGACAGGCGCTGAGGGGAAAAAGGTTGTTCCAAAATATACACAAATCATATAAGCCATCAAGAAGGCGAAGGGAAGCGGGGTCCCGGTAGTGTAATGGATAAGATCGTATTGCCCGAAAAGCACAAGTACGGGTTCGAGTCTTGTCCGAGACTAAAATTATGCCCACAACCCTGTGAAATAGACGAATCATTTGCGTGAAATCCTCTCGTTATTTCCATTTTCCTAACCTTACTATTTCACCGCAACGAGATCGGAGGGATGCGCTGACTAGACTTCGAGTTCTTTTCGGTTATCTGCCTCAAAAAATCTGACTCAAAATTAGAAAACGGTTATGATCAGGGAAGACGAGGTTAACAAAGCAGAAGTTCCGAATCAGAACGATTCGGTTTGGTCGCTTATGCTTTGCAAGGAGATTTCTTACAACGAGAAAACAAATCACATACGTAGTAAAGTATTCCTTGATATTTGATTACAATTTATCCCATAGAATAGGAGATGAAAGTTTATAGAATAAGATTTCAACAATGTCGTTCCGTTCAGGATTTCCAGAAAAATGGAATGCAGTAGTGATGTAATAATGATGGATATAAAAATAACTTTGTGATTTGGAATTGTCATCTATAACTGGTTCACATAGCTTTACAGCGGAGTGCGGTGTCCCCATGATCCAAACCTCATAAACATCAAAGTCCGAAAGCGTTCGGAGTCCGACTTTTGACAAAATTGTCCAACTTTTCTATTTTCTATTTTTAGCCTACAGGTGCACGACGAGGCGAAATAGTGCAAACCTACCTGGGCTATTTAGAGAGGATTTCAATGCAGGAGATGGGAATCTTCTGGGCCAGGATTTGAAAGAGTGGGAGCTCCCATGAGCGAATCGGATAGAATGTGAAGACTCACGAACATGAGAGGCGACAGTCATACCTACGCATGCAAAGGTCGTGAATTGAACCGGAAAAGGGGGGTACATGCGAAGGTGTTGGATGCAATCAGAAGTTATCTACAAATGCTTTACTTCACTGCTTATGGTTCAGGAAATACTTGGAATACTCGTCATTGTTACTGACGTAAAGAGCCCTGTAGAGTTTTCCGACATAAGTTTCTGTTCTACGAAATCCGCCGAATATTTCAGGACGTTTTGGCCTCAATGCACAAAAGAACGGGAGAGGTTCGGTGTAAACTTTCCCTCTAACGATTTTCCTTCCTGCTCAAGAGTTAAGGAGTTATCATATGAAGTTGTCAGGGCATTTGCTAGGGTAATTCTCTCTTGCACGTGCTGCCGACGTTTCGTCAGAGGACAACATGGAGTTCATTACTATTCTGTAGGCTTAAGTACTCGCACGCATCGAACACAATCT